CGGAAACTTAATCTGAAATCGACACATAAGTTTATGCTGTATGAGATAGTGTTTATATACATTAATTTTCATCCAACTATTTTTAGGAGTAACACTTTCGCTTAACCTTTTTCATTTGAAAGTTGAGCAGGAATCGATAATGATGTGTCTTTAACTTTTCATTCGATTATCTTTGTGTAAATTCATTGACTCGACTTTCAATCAGTTAGTTACAAGATTCAAACACCTCTTTATCTAGTGCAGTTTGACCAGCCAAGTAGTATCGCCAACTTAGTGTGATTAATAGTAGATAAATCCGTACGTAGTAAATTTGTCATACTTCTAATGTTTAACTAGATTGAATTAGTAAATATTATAGAGAAAGTTCTACTTCAAAGCATAGTATTATAATCAAAAAATATAGTTGATTCTTAAAACATTCGATTGTAAATATTTAACTTCGATGCTCATTTAATTCTCATAATGTCATACATCCTAATCGTTTTAACGAACTGAGATCGAACTGATATTTAGGACTGTAAAAGTAACAAATTCAATTTTTTTGGTAGTAGTGAATAATTAAATTCGTAATTAGATTTAGGGATAATTTTCTTGTTTTCGTTTATTCACTTATCTTCACCAGACAGAATAAAATCATGTGTCTGAACAACATTTTTTGCGTCGAAATATTTTAGTTTCTAGTATAAACACTAATAACTGCTTAAAGAAAGAAAAAATATTTAATTTCGAAATATCAATCATTTTACAACTTATTAAGCGTGACATTAATAAAGTTATTCACTTATTGATCTTGACCGTGTTCAAAACAATAGGCTTCATGTATTGGGTCATCGTCACAACTATGACATATATTTGCATACTAAACGTTCTATTAAAATTAGATAGCAGTGGGTCAATTTGCAACATCCTATTTCTCTTGCTTTTGTAATATTCATTGCTTCGTTTTCCAGTTTAACTCTACCTCTGGTGTTATTACTCCCAGTCTTTCAGTTTTCCTTTTATTAGTTTTATTTTGTTGTATCGTATAGCATGGATTATGTAGCATGAACTTTTCTGTTTCCGTGATATTTTAAATTATCTGTCTATCTGTGTAGGACAAGGACATTTTGAAATGTGAAGGGTGTGTCATACTGAACAGTTGGAAAGTACAGGAAATTACTACTTACTAAAATTTAGTCGAATTACAGAAGTTGGAATTATTGCTAACGTTGAGAATATTGTTCATGAAGGATAAAAATAGTATGTATGAAGGGATACCGGAGCTTCAGATCTAAAGTAACACAAAGAATCAATGCATCTGCACCATTACTTTCGATTCTGAACCCTATCATCCAACATCTTTAACCATTCACCACGATAATGGCACACACTACAATCAAGTAGTCTTAAGCCACAAATACGACTCAGACTAACAGCCAATTACTTCATGAAACGATCCTATACCACGATCTGGTCTCACGTAGCCTTTCTTTGCATTTCACCAAAACTAACCTGATTACTAAATAATAAATCAATGTAATTAGCTTATTCATTTTACAATCATTCCCCCTAGATAACTTAACAAGGATGTTAACGGACACAGTAATTTCTTCACACAAACTCTCGAAATTTATGTGAAAAGATCTTCATTTGAGTAATTATTACAAAAGTTTTTGTTTAATGTACTTCTAAATCGGAAGATAGTTAGATCTATGATTTAACATCAGTAATATTTTGGTTGATAGTTCGTATTCAATATTTTGTTCGTAACTTTTGACCTATGAGTTGTATTCTCATATTTTCAGATCACGTGGTTTCTTTATTTGCGAGATACTTTCTCGTTTTTCAGTTAAAACTCACTATACTTTTAAAGCTAATCAATCAATCTGACACAAATAACGTAGGAATTAACACAGATATAGACCGACAGATGTTGCTTCATCTAAAGGAAATGAACAATACAAAGGAAGAAAAAGTTGAAATAGTAAATTCAAAGGTTACGGAAAACCACTCCTACAAAAGATATTTCAAAAAGAGCTCATCGAACTATAGCACGAAAGTATAAAATATTATTCCGAAACTAATTTGACAGTGAAGCAATCAATCGGCACTTCTTTTTTGACCTATATTGTCGAAAGTTTCAAACGACTGATTAAAATTATCGGATAATTACACTTTCCGATGTACTGATCGAATTAACGGTTACAGATGCGATCGAATTACTCGATATCTCAGTTAACTTACCGTGGCAGTTTTTTAGTCTACTCGTTTATTGCGTTTGGAGTTTGTAGGTGTCTGAATATTGTATAATCCAAGCTCTAACTACTTTAATTTGCAAACGTTCAAAGCCTTATGAATCGATTTACCGTCTGTACTTAATATACTCTTTACTCTCTCACTCTCGGTTTGTTCACTTGGTAATTTCATTTTACATGGGTAATAACCATAATTATAACGAATTACAATATTCAAAACGGTTTTTTTTACACAAATCGAATGTATTAAATCTTTTTTAATACTAAAGTTGACTGATCATTCTAGTGATGTTATAAATTATCGACCTTACGTCATCTCTCTGCTCATATGACTGAAACATTATTGAAAATTTCACTTGGCCTATTAATTAGCAGTTAAATCCAGAAAATCCTATTTGGGACTCATCATCTGGATACATCTTCATTCAATTTCATTTTCCAACAGATACTGATTAAATGTCTTAAATATCAGTTTTGTACAGCTGAAAGACCTTTTTTCATATAACTTTCACTAAAATATTGTTTTGTATGAATTTCTTTTTTACACGTTTCCCAAAACTTACGTATCACTAATACCTCAGAAAACTTTATTCATTAGAGTTTTAATAGTATTTTATTTCAATGATATATCTAATATATATTTTCTGTCTGGAATAAAAGCATACACCATTCAGGTGCATAAATAAATTTTTCATACGAGAATAGTAATTGTCACTTTTGCAATCAAAATTCGAATCATTGACATGTAATTCGTGGCATTCGAATTAAATAATATTTATTGGATATAAGAATAATACCTAAAAATGAATATTTGAAATAACTACTGCCATTTTTATATTATAGAAAAATTCTATTCGCTGTTTTTTTTCTCATAGGTGAGAATTGAAAATGTTACAGTTTTAGGAGAAGATGTAACAGTGAAAGATGAACTCTTTCTTAATGGAGCACTTGTTCTTCCTCATAATTCAATATCACAATCTGTTTCGGAACCACACATTATTATGTAATCTAATTTCTATTGTTTATAGTTAATCCACATAAAGTGTATGATAATTCACATTTCGTAACACATTTTTATTTAATTGTCACTTTTTGTAAATTTATCAACACTTTAAACAATGCCAATGTATTTCAAACTAGTTACATTAGTTACAAGTTTATTTATTTTCATAAAAGTTGAATCATAATTTCTAAACTGCAAAGAATTTTCAACCTCTAGGTCTTCCCCTGCATGCTTTTCAATTTTCATCAATATTTTTATGCAGTGTAATTATGATCATTGCTCTGGTGAGTTATTCTTTTCAACTTTATGCAAAATTTCCAAGGAAGATGACAGAATCCAATTGGTTTTGGTAACACTATGATTTTATTCATTAAGTCAAAACTAAATTTACCTAATAAACAATTATAAGTAAGAGATTACGATTTTATATTTCACTCTATCAATCTAAGTTGATAACCACTTTCAATTTTCATGACAATGGTTATTTCATCTTTCGTTATCTTAAAACTCAATAATCTACTGGATTTGCATGAGGGAAAGGATAATTAAGTTATCGTTCTTGTGTTAATTAAAAACTCAGAAATTAATTTTTGGTTTGTTAGCCACCTCAAAATAATTAACGATTCAACATATTGTACCTTATGCCTGTCCAGATAAAATAAGTCAGTTCCGCATTACCATAAGTTGATTTTTAGTGGCTCGCGATCTGACTGCAATCTAGATGAACAATTACTTATGCTATGAAATAAGTCTTTCATCTAATTTCCGTATATTACAATTAGGCTAACTCCCTTTGTACATTAATGATAGCAGGAAGCCAAATACAGATTGAGTTGGATGAGTTTATTTGAAGCAACCGTTTACGCAAAAAGACAAAAAGCGGGAAAGCGAAGCGGAATGGAGAAGGTGAGTGTCGGCCAGCTGAACTAGATGAAGTATGACTGAATATTTGTAGTCAGACAAAAATAAGCCAAATATGTTATAAGGAAAGTAAGCAATGCACTCAAACACAAATAAAAGCATTCAAAGTTGTAAGGGAATGATTGACGTGCTTCAAATACGAGTGATTAATAACTGGAGAACCATGAGTTTGTCCAAAGGCTGGGACAAGACACATAGGCTCAAGTGCACACTACAGTTTCCCAGATTATTCGTTCTCCGAAGAATGTACAATACCGTAACTTCCATGTACAGATACCTCTCAAGCCACTTCAGTGGTGGATTCCGGTTTTATTGTCTAGTCAACTGAGGCTGCTGAGTGTATGATTTCTTGTATATTTGCCCTCCAAACGTTTGTTCTTGCCTGAGCCAACACATCACTGTTAATATCGATATCGTATTCAAATACACTAGGGACGCTCAATTTATCAAGTTATAGTTTGTCAGACATTAGATCAGATCATCTATATTTAGTTACTATGATTTTAAATGAAATATTAGTGCTTCTAAAGTTGTTCAAATTTCTTAAGGTAATCAGCTTGTAAAACTTACTACGTTAATTTACAAGTTCCATTCTTATGTAACAACTCTTCTGCATTTGGTAGAGAGGAGTCAACTTCTGTCCCACCTTGACTATTATCGATTTTAGGATTCGGTTTAGAACACAGTGTTACTTTTAATCCATTCATTTATATAATCGTATCGCTTGGAAAACAAGAAAAAAGATACTTCATAGTTTTTTAAGAAAATATTCATATTCTGATCAAAAAAATGCATAACCTGCATGAATAGACCTAGGAAATATGTAAAATATAATGATTGATTCACCTGCTATCAAAAAATAATCTGTCAAAGTACAGATTCAATGAAATCATAAAGAGAATCAATTTAGTTTGGGGATTAAAAAGACTAGTCAAACGAAGAAACATTTCTTTTTAATAAGTTCTTTATCAAATCCTTACTGTTACATAAATGTTTTACAAATGAGTAGAAAGTCAATACCAATTTTGATAATGCTTAATCAATCTAACAATGTGAATATCAATCAGTGATAATGTTTCGAAAATTAAACCTAAAGCAAAGGTCAATTTTTATAATCAATTAATGATCACAACTAGTTACACAAAAGTAGAAATAGGAAATCGATGTAAATTAAAATGTTTTTTCATATCTGAGATATGACTGATAAGACTAATTTAGTAGGACGGGTTACAGTGAAAATAAAATACCAGCAATTAGAAGTTAGAATGCTACAGAAACTGAAGTTCATGATATTGTAAAAGAAGAGAAACTAAGGTCTTAAAGCATATATATTAGTATCTAAATAGAAGGCTAAGGTAAATTCAAAGGTTTTATAAACTTTTTCTGTGTACAAAAGTTAGGTGTTTCGATATACACTCCTATGGCTTCTGCTATATGTAACAGTCGGATTCTGGAACCAAAAGGTGACTTCTGTGAGGTTTTATAAATAGCTACAAACTCTGAAGCTTTATCTACGTGATGTTTAGCATCAATTAAATGCACCAAGACAGAGCTTCTTATCACTTTCTTTTGTCTTTTGGTCAACAACGAAGCGTGATATTCTAAAAACTGATAACTGGTTGTATGCCCAGTATATAGTTTATTGATGAATCGTGCATACATTGGAAAACTTTTAAAAAGACTTAGATCTAACCATGTATTAAAAGTCATTTTATTCAACCTACATTGGTGACCAAAGCATTTTGACCTCTTGTTACGTCCTTGTCTCAAAATAGTTTAAAGGCCTTAACGTGATGCACTATCTGGTTGACCTTGAGACTAGTAACATGTGAGTTCATTTATGACTAAATGGTCTTGGCATAAGGTAGGAAACTAATCTATCAACGGATAGGTTAGCAAGCAGGAGAGATTAGACTAATCGACTGGCAGACTACTCGATTTATTCTTGTTTGGATTCACGAGAAAAAACATTGAATACATACTTTGCAAGACCACAACACATAAGGATTTAGAAAAACTCAGTTATGCTGAAACTGGCCGTTTAAGTTAGAAAAATAGAGTACTAGGGATACGCCTAAGTTACAATAATTTTGGAATAAAACAGAGTACGACTATAAATCATACATTAACCGACAGTTCAAGATTTACAGAATAAGATGGGACAAATAAATGCTAGTATTTATCAGGCTTTGAAATAGGTAGAATAATATCTTCAAAATAAGCTTCAATTGTTTGTCAGTCTCTTGTTTCCCACTTCAAGATACCCCTTTATTATTCAGTTCATTCTAAAGACAATCTATTGAGTTCATTTCACACTCCACTTCCCTTTAAACCACTTCAATGTTTACAATATTATGTAATTCGAATTATATTAAAATATGATCGAACTATTATTCCTAGTACCATAACTGATTATTAGCTTCATTCACAAATACATTTTAGATACTCTGTTGTTGGGCAATTGATTTTCTTTTAAATTTTAACTATCTAAATTCCAAGTATCATAGCAGATATTTAGAGATATTTAATGCTGGTTTACGATTACACTGAAATTTATTTTATCAATGCAATGAGGATGCACATAAGCAACAGAGACTTACCAACATCTCAGAATTACAAATTCTCATTAATATCTTCATATTCGATGAACACGTCAGTTATTGTCTGGATTCTTGTGATGGTGGTGTTTGGTTCTCTGAGCTGGGTGTTGTGGTTGTGGGGACTAGGTGTGGCACACAAACCAACAGAATCACTTCAATCAATCCTATGTAGACCAAAGGACAAAATGACAAGGGAAGAAAAACCAAATATCATCTACAAAATCAACTGCTCAGACTGAAAAACACTACATAGGACAAAGTGGACGGCCTCTTCAGCTTCGTCTACGTGAACACCAATTAGCAGTCAAACGCTACGACAACTCTTCGCTTATATCAATACACACCGACAATTATGGACACACATCTGATTGGAACAATGTGGAAATACCGGGTAGGGAGAGGACAAAGAACACTAGAGAATTTTTAGAAGCTTGGCACTCAGGTTAATCAACAAACACATCGACATTGACCCAATTTATCAACCAATTAGGAAAATCATAGGATCAAGAAACAGATCAAAAGGGGGATGCAATCAAAACAAAGGTGCAAACAACGACAGGTTTAAGGTCAACAGCAACCAATCAAGATCGAGGTTAGCAGAACAAGCTACAGGTCAAACGTGGAGAAATTCGAATGCTTCACTTCTATCTGAAGCTTGTGCTGATGCTGTTGTTCAGAAGAACAATGAAAGCTCCACAACCAAAACACCCAGCTTAGAGAACCAAACACCACCACCACAATCATCCACCTGAGCTACAAATCTTCTCCACCATCTCAATTGTCTGGATTCAATAGCTCATTGGACAAGAAGTTAATGTTTGAAGCAGAAGATACTAAGAGTTTTAGTATCCATATTAAAACTTAGAAGCAAGTATATTCAACTAAAGTGTCGTAAATAGCAATAGACTCCTGTTTTCGATACAAATCTTAATCACATACTAAATATGCTTACTATCAACTTCCCCATCGAATCAACAACGAATGGAGCTCGATACCTCAACCCATGCTTGAAGCTTCATTTTCTGATTCATTCAAAAGAAATTTTAATCACTTTAGAAATCATCATTGTTAGGACTAACACAAGCCACCTAGCCTCCTGTGTCTTTTCAAGCTGAAATTAAAATAAACTTCAAAATATTAGGAAGCCTATAAGGAAACTTATCACCTCAAGATAACGTATTTTTATGCGGTTAAAATAAAGAATGTTAAGAACAAAACAGTTTGTGAATATTCAGTTATGTGAATTCGATAAATTGTCAAAAATTTCGTTTAAATACTGTTTCTTAGTTACATTATAAGTAAGTTTTTTATTCAGCTAATAAAATAATACAATCTAATAAATTAGACCAATATCAATAGAAGTCACAACCGAATAATCTGACAGCCAAAATAATTTTACCTCACAAAAAATCGTAACTTGAAAAAATTAAGTTTGGATACATTTTAGGGATAATGTACAATAACCAATGACAATTAATAAGTCAAAACTTTACAACTTATATAACTGTTTATCTTTCCTCTTTTGAGTGAAAATCCAAATCCTAAAAGCTGTATTATCCTTTAATACACGATTACAACTTTCATTGATCATTATAGACAACATTACTAATCACAGTTGAATACTCACTGATTACATTCATTTACCTAAATGTATGTTATATCAGTTGTCTTTCTTAATCTTTACGTTTTATTTTATGAGTTTTTCAAACATTCCTAACATTCAACTGATTTGCTTTTTTATCTTTATGAGGCACTGGCATTAATCTAACCCTTTATTTTCGGCTCATTTTCATCTGTTTTGTTTGTTGTTCTTTTATTGATCTTAGTTGTAATCTCTGAACCATTTAGGTCTTGTTGTCCATCGGTGAACACCCTAATAGGAAGCGGCATCAAAGAAGAGTATTAATCTACCAATGTAGTTGTACTGGTGTTCCGGTTAATATTTTCTTAGCAAGTTGATTTTCTACAGGATGGGGTCGCTAACCCCAGACACGAACCTCCTCATCTACCCATACTTGAAACCAGCAGTAACCCCAGACGGGCTTTAGGTGGACTTATATGCATATTTATGATTCGACACTACAGTCGCCTTGGACCCTTCTATGTAATTTATGGGACTAATTCAATTCAACCAACCTGGTATTATCAAAAGGCTCGAGCATTGCTGTTTTACGAATATAGCTTTTGTTACGTTATGCTATTTAATAATACTCAGTAGTTTGAGTTAGGGTCAATCATTTTTTTGTGATTTGTAAAATTCTACTTTAAGGCTTTTTTTGTCCCAACCAGATACTTATTCTATCTGTCCGTTAACTTATTTTGGTGTTTTAGCTTGTTTTGCCAGTTTCATCACTTACCCATTGTTGTATGTGCTGTTCATTGAAACTTATTTTCTTTCCATTTTAAAACAATTTGTTTGAAATAAAATGCTTAGTCTAGTTTTCGTTAATATTTTTTTTTCATAAGATAATTTTCCAACAGCTTATGATCGAAGGTTTGTAAATGATTTTGATGTTGACTTTCGTAACTGAATATCTTCGTTTGCTTTCAGTCTTTCGTAATTTCACGGTTGAATAGTTAATGGGAATAATAGGCTTCAATGAGTATCATTTCTGAAGCATAAATTTGTTTCGCCTTATTATTATCGTTACTTCTGCTTCTCTTTTTATACTTAAGTTCTCATAGATGTTAGATAAGATAATTTATACAAATTTTGTATAACTTACTGATATGAAAACATACCGATCATACGACGAGTGACTTATTACAACAACTGGAAATCAAGTAAATTTAACATCAGTATTACAGATTCTCTACAAATGTTTTACAATTGATTTTCATAAAAGAAATTGATTTTACTCTGTGAAAGATCTCATTACCTAATCAGTAAGTCAGTTACAACGTATACCGTCGTACATCAGTTCAGGTTGCCATACCAAAATAGCACAGAGATGTAATTGTCAGTTCAAATATCATAATGTTGGAGATAGTAGAATTATTACTGGTAATAGAAAAGATTAGAGCTTGAAGATATTTTTCAAGAAGTATAATTCAGTGAGGTAACTTAAGAAAGAGAAAGATAGAGGTGATGACGAATTCAGAAAATT